TATCAGAAGTTATTAGCGAAAAACTGTTAGATTCTTTTCGTGACCTGAGATGACCTCGGGGACATAACGAGGGGTCACAGTTGCCATTTTCCGGTTCAGTGTGTCAATTTTACCTACATATCGATGTTTGAGAGTGTCTAGAATAGCGTTCGTGCAAAACAGACGCTTTTCAATTTTCTCCCTTTGACATATAATGGAGAGGCCGCAAAATTGACCTGACCTTAGGTCACCGATATCAAAATTCCGAGGTAAACATTTTATAGATACTGTTACCCTCATCAATCGCTGAAAGTTTCAAAGTGATCGGTCACTCGGTGTAGCTATGGCAGACATTGAAACTTTTTATGAGGTGAGGTCACTTCAAGTGACCTGGTGACCTGACCTTGAATGACCTTGGTCTGAAATTTTGACAACATGTGTAGAATTGATGTTGAGATATCTGCGAAAAACCGGAGGGGGTGTTCAAACACCCCCCCCCCCCCCACACACACACACACTTGGTCGCGGGTTAACCCTCGCCGGCACAGGCCATTTTGCGTCCTTCGGCGGCACAAGGGGGGGTTGGTACGACCCCCCCTCGCGTTTGGCCCCTGATCGAGCTAGAGCTTCGCGGAAAAAACGAGCGTGCTGCCCGTCACGAGATGAAGCCGATAATACCCAATTTTAAGGTCCTAGGTCATCGGGTGACCTTCCAGGTCAGGTCAATGACCCGAAAACCGGGAAAATCGGGACCTGTTAGAAAGTCGTAAAGTGTGGCTGCTATGTGGTTTTCCGGGGTGCTGATCACCAATATCGTGTTAGTTTTGATCACAGATGATGTCTTTAACCCGGCAGGCGGTGGGCCTACCAGCCACCTTCCGCGCGGTGGGGGGGGGGGCACTTTTTTGCCCCCCCCGTATCTCCGAAAGTACTGGACGGATCCGGAAAATTCAAACGGCGTTCGATAGCCCTGTCAAATTTGTCGAAGGGAACCAAATTTCATTGACCTCGGGGTCACCGATGACGTCACAGGTCAGGTCAAAGATAAAATGTTTCACCGTTCACGGGGCTTCTAGGGAAAGCGCTATAACACCGAGTAAAACGCATTTTGTCGAAAATCAGCGATAAGGCGTCAGTTGTCTAGTACATATGTTGCTATTAGAGGTCACTGGTCATACCAGGTCAGGTCACAGGTCAGGTCACCAAAGGTCACCAAGGGTCACCACATGAGCCCAACTTTACTAAGGTTATGCGATGCATGTTTTATGGCCAGTTTTTCATTTCCAACTCAATGGTGTTGGTTATAAGACCATCAGGTACGGTTTAGGTCACTTTCTGGTGGAGGTCAGGTCAAGGTCAGGTCAAAAAGGTCAAATTTCAAAGTTGATATTTTTGCATAAAATGGGTATCGATTCGATGCAGCTCGTCACGGGGAGTCTAATGGTGGTCTTTGTTTTGCGCTACGAGGTCTAGAATTGCTAAAAATTGAGTTTGAAAATTTGACGTCATCAATTTTGAACAGTTTTTTTTTTTCACTATAACTTGGCCAAAAAAAAAAGAGGTATCGATCTCAAATTTGGTATGTAGATAGAAGACGGTAGGGGCTATCACATATATTCAGGTTTTTTTTCGAAATTCAAAAAACTTTTTGGATTTTTTGGCTATTTTATTCAAAAAATCTATTTTTTGATTTTTGGGGGTCAAAATCCAAGAAATTCGAAAAACCGAAATAGCAGTTTTGTAGCCCTTTTAATTCCACACCTTTTATGTATGAAACATTTTTCTGTATCTCTAAAGCTGTAGGCCTGACAGCTCTTCCCGCGAAACCTTTTTTTGGGTCGAAAATGGAAAAAATGACGTCACTCTGACGTCATTAGCGGCCAACCTATCATAGCCTTTGGAAAAAAAATTGGTTACCATGTGCGCTAGCTGCTCCCGGGAGGGTGCTGAAAGTTTGGTGACGATCGGCGCAGCGGTTCTCGAGATATATCGAAAAAACTAAAGCATGGTGTCAAAAGTGGAAATAGCCGCCCGCGGCTTAAGTTCGCCAGCCTTGTCAATAGATGGCAGTACCACAATATGGGCAGCGGATCGTGCAATTGACGTCAAATTTTCGTTATCTGCTAAGAATTTAATGGCGGATCTTTTCATGCAAGAATCAAGTAAATCGGTCCACAACTTTTCTAGCGACAGAGATATGAAGTCAAACACCCTGCCAGAGCGGCGGCGCGGCGGCCGGCGGCGCCCGGGGAGACTGGCGGCCCTGAACGGTTCCGACTTGACACTGCACTAAAACCTGTTAACTGCTTGGAATAGTTATTATAGCAAAATTTTCATTCAAGTGAGGAATAACCAAGGGCAGGAAGTATGTATGCTTGTGTGCGTACTGTGTAAGCCAAGAAACTGCATTAGCAGATACTCGCTAATATTAGATCCAGCCAAGTCCAAACGCATTCCAGGGGATATGTTTCTGATGGGTCAACAATATTTATCGTTCGAGGGCGGATACAGTTGTGACAATACAAAAAATATTTTTGCACAGCTCTGTTCCTTGAATAATTCTCTTCAACGCCTCATTCCTAGTTAAGCGAGTTAGCCCACCCTGGTTGAATAAATAAGGCGATTTCGCCACAGGGTCGCGGAAAACCGACCGAAAATGGCCGCGCTCAACGTTAATTTGGGCATGCAGACTCTTAGAAAATCGCATTGGGCGGGTAGGGTTTCCCAGGTATTGGCTCCAAAACACCGTATTCGGCTCCCGAATACGTCCAAGTGACCCGCCTCGTTCCTAGTTAAGCTCTAATTAGATCAAGTGACTCACAAGGAGCGAAAAAGCGACAAAAAGCATGAATTTCCCTATGGCGGCGGGCTGCCGGGTTGCCAGACGGCGCACCGGCTATTTCCACTTTTGACACACCATGAGGGGGCAAAAAATGCCCCCCCCCCCCACCGCCTGGAAGGTTAAGCATTTAGACCAGGTCGGGTCAGGTCAGGTCAGGTCAACCGGTAGGGGTTGTGACGGGTATTCGTAATACGTGTCAACCGCCTCGGATAGCTTCGTAACATGTTACGAAAGCACCAAAACTACTTCATAAATGTTCAAATGGTTGCCAAATTCGAATTCAGCTCCAAAAACTAGCCTAGAAACATGTAAAACTCGAAAAAGTGAACCGAGGTCACCCCAGGTCACCAAAAGTCAATGACCTGACCTGACCTTCAGGTGACCTTGACACCCACCCTAAATGTACCTAGTGCTTTTATGACTTCGCTGAAAGCTTAACCCGCGCCCCGTTGGGCTCTGCCGAGCAACGCGCCCGGTTGGGGGGGGGCCATTTTGGCCCCCCCCCCTAAGATCTCGAGAACCACGCAACATAGCGACAAGCGGTAAACGGCGTTGGATAGCCCCAACGGGGAACTACCTTGTGACCCAATTTTATTGACCTAGGTCAAACCGATGACGTCACAGGTCAGGTCAAAGGTCCAATTTTCACCGTTTACAGGCACTTCAAGAAATGCGTTGTAAAATCGAGTAAAATGCATTTCATTGAAAATCATCGATGGGGAAATGTCCTTCAAACACATATTTTGCTATTTGAGGTCACTGATACCAGGTCAGGTCACAGAGGTCAGGTCACGGGGGGGTCACAATATGAAAGTGTCGTGTGATACATGTTTTATGGGCCATTTTACATGACAAATGCGATTATATGGGTCAGGCAGCCTTTGGGGCCAGCTTAGATCACGTTTTGGTCAAGGTCAGGTCAAGGTCAGGTCAAGGTCAGGTCAAATTAGGTCAAATTTCAAAGTTAATATTTTTGCATAAAATGGGTATCGAATCGATGCAGCTCGTCACGGGGAGTTCAATGGTGGTCTTTGTTTTGCCGTGCGAGGTCTAGAATTGCTAAAAATTGAGTTCAAAAATTTGACGTCATCATTTTTGAACAGTTTTTTCGCTATAACTTGGCCAAAAAACGAGATATCGATCTGAAATTTGGTATGTATATAGAAGAGCGCTGGGACTATCACATATATTCCGGTTTTTCTGAAATTCGGAAAATTTTTGGATTTTTTCAAAGTTTTTCTAAAAAAATCAATTTTTTGATTTTTTTTGGGTCAAAAACCAAAAATTTTGAAAATCCGAGATAGCAGTTTTGTAGCGCCGCCTTTTGTCTACTAGACCATATAAAGAACTTTGAAATTGCTTGATAACTGTAGATTTGGTGAGCGTTTCAAGATTGCATGTTTTTTGCTCATTTTTGCTCGAACATGACCTCAGTTTGACCTCAATAACTCCTGACCTAAGGTGACCTAAGACTTGAAATTTGGTGTGAAGGTGTCAAATTGATGCCCGGGAAGGTACTGAAAATTTGGCGGCGCTGCGCGCCGCCGTTTTCTTGCTATTCAGGAAAAACCACAGGGGGGGGGCCAAAATGGCCCCCCCCAACGGGGCGAGGGTTAAGAGCGATCGGTCGCTCGGTGTAGCTATGGCAGGCATTAAAACTTATGGTGAAAGGGAAATATATGGGGAAAGGGGTGCTAAAACATCCCCAGCAGGGTGCGGGGCAATGCTTCTTCAACTAAGCTCAAGATGAAGTGTACACACTGCCTTCAAAGTAAGCATGAAAATATCCTTTAAAGAGGCATTGCAACTCTTGTCGATTGTTGTCTCAATGTGACTGTTTGTGACCTGACATGACGTAAGACGTCGACCTCAAACCTTGCTTGCTAAGTATGATACTTATGCTCACAGGGTGTCTTCACAAAGCATTGAGATCACTTAAGCGTAGTTTCGGGCAGAAGCTGATGATTCCGCCGTTCATAAGCCTCGTCATTATACAGATACCCCAGAACTTGACTTTTGACCTGATATTCACTCGAAAGCTGATCACCATCTTGAAATCTTAATTCCTGGGAACATCTCGTGGAGAGCTTTCAAAAGCCGCCTGGCTGGGCCCGATAAGGCCATTGGTTCTCGAGATAGCAAGGGGAGGGGTCGAATTCGAGCAAAACCCAGACAGTCATGGGTACGGAAATAGCCCAGGCGGTGCCGGGTTGAGCACCAGCTGGTCATCGCTTGGTTATCTAAGGCCAGATGTGAAGCGGTTTCATCACGAGGAAGCACGTCCAACAGCTGGCGGCTCTGCTATCTCCCCACGTCCGGGGCAGGGTTCGGTGACCTTGGCGATAGGCGCGATGACTCAGCGTCGGGTGCCGGCGCGCCGCCGCCCCGCCGCCGCGGCACGGACCACTGCAGTGGGAGAGGGGCTGGTGACGGGAGCGTCACACGCCCTGCTCATCTAACTATTGTGCAGAAGAGAGAAGTGCAGCGCTGTGTTCTTCGCCAGACCTGTCTGAAACTCGTGTGACCTGATCACGGTGTGTCAGCCATGTTGTCGACGGTTCTCGGCTGGCTCGGCTGGCTGGCATCCTTGGTGTTCAGCCCGGTTACGATAGGTCTCGTGGTGCTGCTCCTGACGCTGATCTACCGCTATCTGACGCGCCACAAGAACTTCTGGAAAGGGAAGGGTGTCGCCAACAAGCCGTACCGCTTCCCCATGGGAAATGTCGGATTCGACTTCTACAAGTTTCAGGAAGGCTGTCAAAACCTGTATGATGAGACAAAAAGCGCTGGAGGATGTATGGCCATGATTGACTGGCTTGGACCTGCGCTTTCGGTCAGCGATCCAGAAATGCTGAAGAACATTCTGGTCAAGGACTTCGAGACATTTCCAGTGAGACAGCCTACCTCGTTCAACTCAAGCCACGGGATTTTCTCGAGCATGATAACCAACCTGACGGGTCAGCAGTGGAAAGATGTCAGGAGTATTTCCACTCCCACCTTTTCCACAGGCAAAATTCGTGGCATGACAGCTATTTTGGAAGAGCTCTCAAACACCCTTGCGGACCAGATGTTCAAGGAGTCCCAGAAAGACGGAGAGATCAACGTCAAAGACGTGTTTGCGAGATACACCATGGATACCATAGCATCGGTAGCTTTCGGACTGGAAGCTGACTCAATCCGCAATCCAGAATCAGCCATCGCAAAGAAAGCTGTGCTGCTGAGGACCCCTCCATCCTTGTTCAGGATTATTCTTTTCATGAGCATCATGTACCTGCCGTCCTTTATAAAGAATCGGTTTGACCTCACCTCTATGATGCTGTCGAATGACGCCCTGGACTTCTTCGTCGACATCGCAAAGCGAGCAATCAAGGAGCGAGAAGAACACCCAGAACGTCGTCGCAATGACTACCTTCAGCTGCTTATCGACTCGCGCAGCGACAAAAGTCAGACACGGAAGCTCACCGACGACGAAATCACGGCTCAGTGTCTTCTGTTTTTCTTCGCCGGGAACGACACCACATCAAACTCTCTGACGTGGGCAGCGCGTGAGATCGCTTTTCACCCGGAGGTGCAGGAACGCATCCAGGCTGAGATAGACGAGGTGCTGACGTCCGACGACACCCCCATCGACTTTGACAAGGTCAACAGCGGCATGCCGTACCTTGAGAGCGTTGTCATGGAGACCCTAAGGATGTATCCGGGGATGCAGTTGACTCGCGCCTCGACTCGTGATTACACCATCCCTGGGACGGACGCGGTTCTGCCGGCCAACAGCATGGTGTACATGATGCCGTACGCCATGCAGCGCGACGCAGATCTCTACCCGAACCCGGATTCCTTCGACCCGGAGCGGTTCTTGTCTAATGGCAAAGAGCTGCGCAACTCGTACACCTACCTGGCCTTCGGTCAGGGACCGCGCAACTGCATCGGCATGCGGTTCGCGCTGCTGCAGGCAAAGGTGGCACTGGTGGCGCTGCTGAGGAAGTACTCGCTGGTGACGGGCCCCAAGTCCGGAGAGGTGAAACCGGTCCTGAACCCTGGGTTCGCGCAGACCCAGGAGAAGGATGGAACCTGGCTCAAGATCGTTCGTCGCTGATCAGTGGAAGCTATGAGGGGCTGTGGCCGTGGGTGAACATAACATCATGCACGGTCAATGGGCTGTGCAGAAAGTGATTCATAAAGTTTTCTGATTAGATGATAGCCCTGTCAGCTGGTATCATTTGCTAAGCTGTCTTTCTTGGGTAAAGGATTGGGGGTCATTATGGCGATATTCCTAATCAAGGAGTGGTTGACGTAAAATGTTTTTGGGATGATGCACATGTAGTGCATACTGCATATACAATGAGAGAATACAATGTATGTAAAAGAATGTTGGCTTCTTTTTAAGTGATGTTTTTGTTTCTTTCTTCACTGACCCTTGCCGGCATATGCTTTTCTGCATCCTTCGTCGTTGCCATGGGGACAAGACCTCGTCAGTTTGCGTTTGACCCCTCATCAAGCAGAATTTTGCAAAATAAATGGTTTGCTGCAGTGCACTAAGCCAAAGAAACCAACGTAATTGTCTCAGCTCCACAGGTGGCTCGAAATTCATTTTTATAACATCTGGAAGTGTTTTGTAACAAAGATACCTACTTGCACCAACATGGTTTCCGAGACGAAATCGGAGTCAGCATTTCCCGAAGTCGTGGCAATGAGCCAGAAGCGCTGTCGGAGTCCTAATCGATATGTATTACACGCGGTTTGTGACAATCTAACTTTGATGTGCTCCTAGCTTGCGTAACATCTTTATTCTAAGCAAGGTAAATAACCATAGTGACTATTTGACATTTCGATACACGCATTGCATCGGTGCTGTGCGCCCTGTCACCCCAACTCATCATAACCCGCGCCCTGGTGGGGGGGGGGGCTATTTTTTGCCCCCCCTCCAGACTTTTCGATATATCTCCAGAACCACTGCGCCGATCGTCACCAAACTTTCAGTACCCTCCCGGACATCAATTTTACACATTGTGACCAAAAATTTTTCCAAAGGCTATGATAGGCTGGCCGGAAATGACGTCAGAGTGACGTCATGTTCTGCCGTTTTCGACCCAAAAAAGGGTTTCGCGGGAAGAGCTGTCAGGCCTATAGCTTTGCAAACACAGAAAAATGATACAAACATAAAAGCTGTAGAATGGACAGGGCTACAAAACTGCTATCTCGGATTTTTGAAATTTTTGGATTTTGACCCCAAAAAATCAAAAAATAGATTTTTTGAATATAATAGCCAAAAAATCCAAAAAGTTTTTTGAATTTCGAAAAACCAGAATATATGTGATAGTCCTTACCGCCTTCTATCTACATACCAAATTTGAGATCGATACCTCTTTTTTTGGCCAAGTTATAGCGAAAAAACTGTTCAAAATTGATGACGTCAAATTTTCAAACTCGATTTTCAGCAATTCTAGACCTCGTAGCGCAAAACAAAGATCACCATTAGACTCCCCGTGACGAGCTGCATCGAATCAATACCCATTTTATGCAAAAATATCAACTTTGAAATTTGACCTTTTTTGACCTGACCTTGACCTGACCTCCACCAGAAAGTAACCTAAACCGTACCTGATGGTCTTATAACCAACACCATTAAGTTGGAAATGAAAAACTGGCCATAAAACATGCATCGCATAACCTTAGTAAAGTTGGGTTCATGTGGTGACCCTTGGTGACCTTTGGTGACCTGACCTGTGACCTGACCTGGTACGACCAGTGACCTCTAACAGCAACATATCTACTAGGCAACTGACGCCCTATCGCTGATTCCCGACAAAATGCGTTTTCCTCGGTGTTAAAGCGCATTCCCTAGAAGACCCGTGAACGGTGAAACATTTCATCTTTGACCTGACCTGTGACGTCATCGGTGACCCCGAGGTTAATAAAATTTGGTTTCCCTCAACAAATTTGACAGGCCTTTCGAACGCCGTTTGAATTTTTCGGATCCGTCCAGTAGTTTCGGAGATACGAGGGGGGGCAAAAAATAGCCCCCCCCCCACCAGGTCGCGTTATAAACAGACCCCACCAGGGCGCGGGTAACGTACGCATTGCAACATTTTCGGCTAAAATAGTACCTATGCGTTTCTTACGTGCGCTCTATATATACCTAACTTTTCATCAAGAAGATATTGTCAGATAAAAAAGACGGCTTTTAATCTTACACATTAGCTCCGACAGCTAGTGGTGCCATCGGTAAACATCCAGTTTGTGCTGACTAGTGTCGGTGTTGTGTCAACATTCACTATACTACTGGCGCACCGTAGCACACATGCATCTTACAGTACCAGTACTAACTCCAGAACAATCAGTCGGAGGAGGTTTGGTCAATCGTTGTCATTTGTAGCACATGCCATTTTTGGCAACCATGTGCCAAAAATGACAACGCTATCAGCTATTTTTTGGCAACGATGAAGCCGATTTCACTCCTCAGCGAGGAAATCACGATTTTGGAAATAGGAAGGTACAAGCAATGATTTTGGAAAAGAAGTGCTGCCACCTGGTGCAAGAAGAATAAACCAGCTTTAATATGGCCGTTGTTTGTATGGTAGTCCGACGTTGACGTAGGTATACCCTTTTTTGTAGCCTGAAGTTGGAACTTCAGTTTGCTGCATTCGAAAGTGATCAATATTGATTGAAAACATAATTTTGATGAAAAAAGAATATGTTAAGTTGAAAGATGAGGCGATTTCATCCAGAAGCGGTGGTTTACTTTTTGAAATTATTTTTGTTTATGACGACCGTCATGCAATGACGGATGATGCGCGGCCGTCAATTAGCAAAAATAATTTCAAGAAGTACCAAAACTACTGCATCTGGATAAAATGACCTACTCTCTCAACTAAACGCATTATTTTTCATCAACATCATGTTTTCGATCAATATCGATCATCTTCGGATGCTTCATTTTAAGTTTCAACTTCAGGCCACAAAACAAACTACCATACAAACAACGGGCATATTAAAGCTGACTTCTTCTTGCACCAGATGGCAGCACTTCTTTTCGAAAATCAGTGCTTATCTCTCCAAAATCGTGATTTCCTCGCTGAGGAGTGAAATCGGCTTCATCGTTGTCAGAAATAGCAGAATCGTTGCCATTTTTTGCACGTGCCACAAAAATAGCACGTGCTAAAAATGACAACGATTGACCAAACCTCCCTCGACTGCAATGCTGCATAAAAGCACTGGATCTGTTTGAGAGTCCCGCAGCGCAGCTGCGTCTCAGAACTGTTCGCGTACCTCAACGTTCACCACGAAGTCCTCGGGCTGCCGTGCGACTCCCGGCTTGAAGTTCATCGTCGGCATCCGTCCAGGAACAGGGGAGAACCGGAACCTCTGCAGCAGGCACGTGAACAGCATGAACGCCTCCATGCGCGCCAGCGTCTCCCCCAGGCAGAACCGCTTCCCGACACCGAAGGGGATGACACGCTCGTCGCGCCGGAAGGTGCCGTCAGCATTGATGAAGCGCTCTGGCCGGAAGGTGTACGGATCTCCCCAGTAGGTGGGGTCCATATGCACGGCGTCGAGGTGCGTGAGCACTATCGTGTCCTCAGGGAACGTGTGGCCGCGGAACGTAACCTGACGGGTGACCCGGCGCGGCACACCCAGCGGGAACACGGCCGTGCGTCGGTACAGCTCTGTCAGCGTGGCTTCCGTGTATGGCATCCGCACCCGGTCAGCGTATGACGGGCTGCGCCGGCCGACCACCGAGTCGATCTCACGCTGCACGCGCGCCTGCACGTCCGGGTGGAGGACCATGAGCAGCAGCGCCCAGGTCAGTGTGCTCGTGGTCGTCTCCACGCCGGCCACGAAGAAGTCCATGCCGATGATGGCCAGGTTGCGCTCGGTGAACTGCCGCGCCTCGGCGTCTGGTGATTCCATCTCGATGAGGAACTGGTCGATGAAGTCGCGCGGGCTGGAGCGCTCCAGGGTACGTCGATGCTCCTTGACCAGGGGACCGAACATTGCCGCCGTCGACTCCCGGTGACGGATGATAGTCGAGTAACCGCTCTTCTCCGGCAGGAAGTGCCTCAGCCACGGAGCCACGTTCAGTGGACAGCGAGGTCCGATCGCCTGAAAGAACTCGCTGACTGTGGCCACGTGATCCTGGGTCTTTGGGTCGTTCTGATCCAGTCGCTGATCAGCCACTAGTTTCCAAAGGATGTTCAGCACGTACACGCCAAAGCGCCCATTGACTTTCATCGGCGCCTTCATCTCTTGCGTAATCTCGTCGGCCAGTTCCTCGAACTCGTCCAGGACGGTCTCTTCCAGCGACTTTTTACCGAAGCCGAAGTCGCGCAGGTTGCGCAGAGCGAAGCGTCTGTGCTCTGCCCAGGAAGAGCCCTCGTTGAAAGCAATCCCCAGCTGTTGCTGGTAGCTCCGCAGTAGCGTGGCGAACGACTGAGGCCTGCCGGCGAACTCCGGCATAGCGCACGCGTCACGGATGTCCTCGTACTTGAAGAGGTGTGCAGCAGTCTGGCCGTTCGGGAGAACGAAGCCCAAGATATCTCCGTAGGTTTGGCGATATCTCTTGAGCTCAGTTTTCAGTTGGCCTCTGAGTGACTGGATCATGAACCAAACGTTTCCGAAGATCAGGAACGTCGGAGGACCTGTCAATCAGCGACCAGAGTAAGGTCTTAGTATGGATAGCAAAACTAAGCATGGCGTAGCCCTGCTATACCTACTTAGTCACCTAATAAAAATTGTCCGTATGAAATTGGAACACCACTTAAGTTTTCAATAGCCTGAGACGAGACATGCATGAATCCAGACATACGCACTTGAAGGGGATCGGACATAAAAGATTACTTTATTTACTGGTGCACGGATCACGGATGAGAAGCTCAACAAACTTTGTGGGAGCATAGGGCGGTCGTTAACTATTTCCCATAAGAATCGAAAGCTAAGCACCGTAAAGCGAAGCGGGAAACAAGATTGATGAGCTTTCACCAAAAACCTACTTTTCCAAATCCATGAACTATCCCTAATGAAACATACATAACCTATGATGGCACTAAGTCGTGGTCAACATGCCCATTATTGCTGTAAATTACCGAAAATGAATACCGTAACAGTATATTTAACGTTAGGTTTTACGCCGTAGGAATGCCGCCCTGAATCTGTTACGTAACCGCTTTGTCCTGTCTGTCTCACCTGGTGGCAATCCTGCCGGTCGCTGCGGCCTGCGAACCCATAAAAACACCAGCACAAGCACCACCAGCACCAGCACGAGCACCATGTCTGCACTGAGCACCAGCGAGCGAGGACTGTCGCCAGGAGCCTGTGACGCTCAGTACACAAACACCCGCCCGGCGCGGCGCAGCGGGGCTATCTGGCTGAACTGGCGTCGACCCACATACAGGACTGGGGAGGGGGAGGGAGGGGAGGGAATCTGCTGCGTCATGCGGCAAGTAGGTACTTTACGCATGCATACGTACACGCCCGCGCAGGGTGCGCTTCAAGCGATGGTAGCTGTCAGTTGAGGTAGTATGCTTCACTTGCTTTGAATATGAAAGCATTTGAATAACAGGAATTCAGGCGATTTATTCCACTCGTTTGAATGGTAAACCGCAAAAAAGAGACTTGCTTCAAGGGAGGTGTTGCTATGTTTTGTAATCTTTAGTAAAATATGATGGGTTTAACGAACATTGCGAGTGAAATCTAATGTTTTCTGAGTCATATCTTCTTAGTTCTTACAATTGCACATTGCACACCCATAAAAATGTCTCATTTTAGTTGCAAGATTCAAACCCTATGGGACGGTATTTATTACGGAGCGAGCGAAGCGAGCGGAGTCTTTCCTTAGATTAACGGAAATTTCTGAGTATGAGCGGCCGGCCGGCCGTGGGGACGCTCTTCAAAAGCTAATATCTTAGGAACGGGACATCCGATTGACAAGCGGTCTTCTTGACTGAATGTCACTTGGACGTAAAAGTTCTGTGGTGTGATGGCCACCATGCGTTCTTGCCAACCACCGCACGTGGCGCGTGGTAAAGTTGGACATTTTTTAACCCGCGCCCGGCTGGGGGTCCTGGATTTCCACGCCCTGTTGGGGGGGGGGGGGGTGTTTGAACACCCCCCCTTGTAACTCGGCTCCTGGGCCACGTAGCGATACGCGGAAGGCGGCGTTCGAAAGAGCGTCAAAAATAATGACGAAATCGCTTCGGTCAATTTTTTGGTCAGGTCAAAGGTCAGGTCACCAGAGGTCATTGAAGGCAAAATTTCGCCGATTTCCAGGTCGAATGTCGAAAATTTCCAAGAAGCCAACGCATAACACGAGAAGCAATAGAGCTACAGCGCCGCGGAAAAGCGCATTCGATAGCCCTAATAAAGCCCTTTCTGAGTAATTCTCTCAGATTTGACCTAACGTCAACGGTTTTGCCTGCAGGGGGCAAAAACTGCAGAAATAGCCGATTTTTTCGGAAACAGTTTTTCGGCAATAACTTTTGACCCAAGCCTTGTACGAGCTTACTTTTACCGGCATTGTGTTCCTCTCGTCAAGACGCATCGAATGAACTATAAGTTGACCTTGAAAGGTCAACTTGAAAATTTGACCTCAGGTCAAGGTCATGACCTGACCGGAAAGGGTCATGTTGCATATCAGTCGATCCGTATCGTCGAGCTGAACACATCTAAGACGTTTTCATCGCTCTAGCATGCCTCTATCAAAAGTTATTTGCGAAAAACTGTTAGATACCATTCGTGACCTAAGATGACCTCAGGGCATAAACAAGGGTCACTGACACCATTTTCATGCTCAGTGTGTCTAAACTACTTGTAATTCGGTGTTTGGGAGTGTTTATAATGTCTTTTGTCCAAAAGAGGCGCATTTCAATTTTCTCCCATTGACTTATAATGGGGAGGTCGCAAAATTGACCTGACCTTAGGTCATCGTTATCAAAATTCTGAGATATACATTTTGTACATGCTATTGCTCTTAGCAATCGCTGAAAGTTTCAAGGCGATCGGTCACTCGGTGTAGCTATGACAGACATTGAAACTTTTTATGAGGTGAGGTCACTTCAAGTGACCTGGTGACCTGACCTTGAATGACCTTGGTCTCAAATTTTCACAACATGTGTAGAATTGATGTATGATAAGGTGTACCAAAAACGGCGGCGCTCCGCGCCGCCGTTTTTGAGATATTCGCGAAAAACCACAAGGGGGGGTGTTCAAACACCCCCCCCCCCCAGCAGAGCGCGGGTTAAGAACCCCCAAAATTGCAACCTCAATAACGGCACAACGGTTGGGCCGATTGAATTGAAACTCGGTACACAGTTAGGTCTCCATCAGACAATTCATCTGCATGTGTTAATGTTGGGGTGCTGCTGCACGTGCGCACGTGCAGGGGTCGTTTCCAGATCTCGAGAACGGCTGGACCGATGGCGCTCAAATTTGGTACACGGTTAGGGACCAGTTAGTAGGGTGCCGTGCTTAAGTCAGTTGGGACCCATTTTGCACGTGCGCACGTGCAGGGTGCCGCTTCCAGATCTCGAGAACGGCTGGGCCGATTGTGCTCAAATTTGGCACATCGCTAGAGACCGGTTAGCAGGGTGCCGTGCACAAGTCAGTTGGAGGTACCCCCTCGAAATTTCGCACGTGCAAGGCCCACCCTCTCGCTCGCTCCGTTAGTCGCCCCATAAGGCGTTATACTGGTTGTAGCACTACACATAGTTAGGGATGAAATACGACTCTTTCTCAAATACCAAATCCATTCCATTGTATTCATTTGCGTTGGATCCGAGCCCCAAAGCCTCTCATACAAAGAGCGACTGCAGAGTCTGAAACTCCCGTCCCTCCAGGCTCCAGTAATGCAGCTGCCGAGGAAATACGGTAATGGCGTTGAGCATATGGTAATGAATGACGCACGGTCGCTCCGGCGCGGTCTCGATACGCGTTCGTCTTCACCCAGCCCGTGCAGCCCTGCAAGCCCTCAGCCCAGCAAGTCTCACCTTTAGTGCACACGCTCAGGCTCAGGCTTCCAGGCTCTACGTGTGGCGTAACAGTTGGTGTGTGGTGCAATCCCTCCCCTCTCCCCCTCTCTCCTGTAGTTGTTGGTATGCAGTATGCACCCAGGCACACAATGCCGCGCCGTACAGCGAGCGGCGATCGACTCAAGGACGTATAAGGAAGAACACCTTGGCATTTAGGCATGCCCTGAGCGGCGGAGGCGCCTGATGACGGTCTTCCTCGGTTGAGCCCGGTGAAAATAGGCATGTCTGTGCCGCGCTCCTATTTCAATGCGGTCGGGAGCTCTCGCAAATATTCGTTAGGAAAGCGGAATGAAACGCCCATTCCCTACGCCCGGGTCCGCTAGGTCTAGTGACTAGAGAGTATATGATACCGGACCTTCACGTGACATTACATCCGCCATAGTACATAAGACAAACATAGTTTTACATGTTATCTTATCACATTTCTTTCTTTTCACAACAGCATGAAAACGTAAGTGTGTACGGTATAGGTAATGTGCGCTGATATCCGTCTCGCAGCATTCTAGCGCAAAAACTGATATTCCATTTTGTTTTGAATGTATGTACCTATAGCGCATTAGATAACGCATTTATTTTACTATTAATTCTTATTGTAAATCGGGCTCCAATTTGAAGTGTGGTATATAAAATAACTAAGGCATATATTTATAAGATTTTAAATTAACATGACTTTGGGAAAATGCCGCAGTTCGAAAGTCGTGTAGGTGAATGTCATTAACCCTCGCCGGCACAGGCCATTTTGCGTCCTTCGACGGCACAAGTGGGGGTTGGTACGACCCCCCCTCGCGTTTGGCCCCTGATCGAGCTAGAGCTTCGCAGAAAAAACGAGCGTGTTGCCCGTCACAATAGGAAGCAGATGATACCCAATTTTAACCCGCGCACCGACGGGGGTCTGCGCCAACTTAGTACCGACGGGGGGGGGCGGATGACCGCCCCCCCCCCCCCCGAGATCTCGAGAACGAAGCAAGATAGCGACAAGCGGTAAACGGCATCGGATACGCACGGACAAGGTCTACAATTTTTACTAAGGTCATTTTCAGGTCAGGTCAAAGATGACGTCACAGGGGTCGAAAAAGTCAAAATGGCGGCGCTAGATATGGAGAGGGTTTTTCTCGAATAACTTTCGAAGTGGTCAAGATAGGAATAAACTAAGGGCATCATCGTGATCCTCTCGTCAATCCGCATCGAATGATATATATGTTGACCTCGAAAGGTCAAGGTCAAAGGTTGACCTCAGGTCACGTGACCTCGAGGTCATCATGCATATCATTCGATGCGTCTTGACGAGCTGAACACAATGAGACCATCCGCGCGGCTGTATCTTGTTCCTGTAAGGAGTTATTGGCAAAAAACCTTTGGTGACCTTTGATGACGTCACATGACCTTACAGCTGCCCAACAGCAAAACAGACCTCAAGGTAGTGAAGGTTGATCGTATGTGAAGTCATGTATGGTATATGGGGCCATTCCGACCCGTTTTAGTGGTAAAAACAGGGAGTTGATTTTTCCCCCATTGACTTATAATGGGGAGGTCGCGAAATTGACCTGACCTTAGGTCACCGACATCAAAATTCCGAGATAAACAAATTGTAGCTACTAATGACCTAATAACATCCTGCGACTTTCAAAGGCCTCCGACATCTACTGTAGCTCTGGCACGGTGACAAAGTTGCAAAAAAGTGACTTGAGGTTGGGTCATTCAAAGTGACCTGGTCATAGAGATCTTATATACATAGAGATGACATGCACTTAACCCGCGCCGTGCTGGGGGGGGGGGCGTTTTTACGCCCCCCCCCCCTCAGGTTTTTTGCGAATATCTCAAAAACGGCGGCGCGCAGCGCCGCCGTTTTTGGTACACGTGTTCCTACATCATTTCCGCACATGTGAAAATTTCAGACCTAGGCCGTTCAAGGTCAGGTCACCAGGTCACGTCAAGTGACCTTACCTCAGAAAAAGTTCAAAGGCTCGCTATAGCTACACCGACTGAACGATCACTTTGAAACTTTCAGCGATTGATATGAGTAACAGTATGTATAAAATGTATATCTCGGATTTTTGATATCTGTGACCTAAGGTCAGGTCAATTTTGCGACCTCTCCATTATAAGTCAATGGGAGAAAATTGAAATGCGCCTCTTTTGGACGAATATCGTTCAAAACGCTCTCAAACATCGGTTCATAGGTAAACATGACACACTGAATAGGAAAAATGCACCTGTGACCCCTCTGTGTGCCCCTGAGGTCATCTCAGGTCATGAACGGTCGCCAGCAGTTTTTTGGCTATAACTTTTGATAGAGACGTGCTAGAGCGGTGAAAAC